CTTAGGTCAGTCAGCATAATTTAAAAAAACAAAAACAAAACAGTTTTGCCAATAATAATATTGTTGCATCTTGCCTGTTTCTAGAATTAGCTAAGCCATCTTCCTCTTTATCCACTCATTCTCACCAAGTAGATGTTAGCATTTGTATACACACCAGAGTATAAAACATGTAGTTTTTATGTTGCTTTGTCATTTCTTTTTAGGAAAAAAAATCCACTTGAAATTTTCTATGTTCATGATTACATGTTTTATAATTTTTTTAAAGCAGGTGCTTATTTTTCACCTATGGTAGTTATTAATATCATACAAGAAGAAGCCATTCACTCAGATCACACAATGTCCACTCACAGGAGGGATTCCCAGATGCTGGAGGTTGAAAACGATATATCCATGTCCTAACTCCCAGAATGTATACATATGACCTTACTTGAGATAAACATCTTTGCAGTGTAATTAAGTTAAGGATCTCGAGATGTGATCATCCTGGATTAAGGTGGGCTCTAAATCAATGACAAGTTCTTATAAGAGTAAGGAAGGGAGAAGGGGGACACACCCAGAGACACAGAAGAGAACGCCACATGAAGACAGAGGTAGAGGCTGAGTGACACAGCCACAAGTCCAGGAAGTGTCCATGATGGCCGACAACTGCCAGAAGCTAAGGAGGCATGGCACAGACTCTTCCGCAGAATCTGCTGACACCGTGATTTTGAACTTCTGGCCTCCAGAACTGTGAGAGAATACATTCCTGTTTAAATCCACTAAGTTTGTAGTAATTTGTTATGGCAGCTCTAAGAAACGAAGACAGTTGCTCATTACAATACCTTTTACTGCCTGCACCTATCAACGTTTATACAATTTGGTGTAAGAAACTTTTTTGATGACACGTTACGAAAGACTTAACTCACCTTGCTGCTGAGATTCTATGACTACTCTGAGTCATCAACCCTAAAGCAAACAGCACTTATCAAAGGGCATCCACCCAGCTTTCAGGAGCAGAAGACACATCGATTAGTATTTTATGCATTGGACAGCTATGCCTGTGGACAAAGAGCATCAGTGTGAATCAGCTGTTTACTCTCTAGAAAACTTTGATAGTCATGAAAGGGAGTAGAGCTATATTGCCATCTGTAGAAACTAAAAACAAAGGGTTAAAATGAACAGATCCTTCTCTTACAAGGCTAGAGAAGACTGCATGACATTAGTCCCTTGGTTATATTTTTGTTAAGAATACCTATGGATTCAGTCATTCATTAAATTTATGGAGTGAATCTTATGTGTATGCTGTCAAGCATTGACAAAGCAGCAGTATTTAAGACAATTTCTTGCTCTCCTATAACATATAGCTAATGAGAAGTGTTGGTGAGAAATAGTAAACAAATAAGTGAAATATACATGTATTTGCTATGCAAGACATCGACAAGGAAATGGAGCCACCCAATGGAAAGTAGTCTCACCAGTCCTTTTGCTTTTGGTGTAAAAAAAAGTAGATTAAGGATAATTTTGTTCATTTATTGGTTTATCTACTTATTGGACGGAAAGATCCACAAGATCAGGGACTAGCCTTGTCTTCTGCTCTTTCTGGGGCGTGAGGACCCGGCCTGACCCATAAAGTGCCCACAGTTAACCATTCTTCCACTCATTTGTCGATTCAGTGAAGTCATAGAAACTGGTGGAGCCTGTGCAAGATCAGGAGACCCAGCAAGTATTTCCTTTATATCAATGTTGCATTTGTTGTTGAAATCCTTTCCATTCTTGAGCTGCTGCATTTTTAAGGAGAGACATTTTTCACATGGAGAAACTATGGAAAAATAAAACCCCATGATGTAGTAACTATGAGAGCTAAGATAAGCATTTGAACAAACCACCTTGGTTTGGCTTTCTTTCTAGATATAGCATTTGCTTTCTTATTTACAATTGACCTAAACACTTTTTTAAAAAAATTAATATGGAAAACTTCAAAATTGCAAGACTATCTTATAAAACAATTAATTATAAAGAATTAAGGAATTTTATTTCTTTAAAATAAGTGACTCTCTGAAATTGTAAGAGCTTGACTGGCCTGCTGAAAGCACAGGTTTACATTTAAAATCCTCCCAAATACAGTTGTCAAATCTTGTTTTAAAGTTGTAGGATGCAAAATTATTATCCTTTGTTTTTTGTTTTTTCTTTTAGCTTTAAGTGTTTAATTAATTAATTAGTTGAGTCAGGTCTCACTGTTGCCCAGGCCGGAGTTTAGTGGCACATTCATGGCTCACCATAGCCTCGACCTCCAGGGCTCAGGCAATCCTCCTACTTCAGCCTCCTGAGTAGCTGGGACTCCAGGGGTGCACCACCATGCCCTACTCACTTTTTGAATTTGTGTAGAGATGAGGTATCGATACGTTGCTCAGGCTGATTTTGAACTCCTGGTCTCAGGCAATCCTCATGCCTGCTGGGATTACAGGCATGAGACACTGCCCACAGCCTTAAGTATTTACTTTAAAATCTGTAAGAATATGGAATACCCTGATGGAAAAAAATGGGTAAGAACAAAATAGGAAACTGCCGCAATACATACATAATTTTTAAAGCAAAGAGGAAAAAAAATGTAAAAAAATTATAAGGAGCCAAAAGCAAAATGAAAGACTGTTCAATCTCTTTAGCAATCAAAGAATTGCAAGTGAAAATGATAAGGTACCATATTTTGCAAATTGATTTGGGAGGAAACAGTTTGAGGAAAAAAGAATTTGTATATTGTTCACTGTTATTGTGAACATAGATCATTTTCACCCTTTCCAGGAGCACCTTGACAAAATGAATAAAATAGTTTTAAAAATAGTTTTTCCTTTGACTTGCTACTTTTATTTCTGAGAATATATCTTAATGAAATATAATTAAGCAATTATACTGTGAGGATAATTTAGCTGTAAAGATAATTAAATGAAATGTTCTTTGCAATAGCAGAGTATCAGGCATCATCTAAATGAACACCTAGAGCAAAAAAGAAAGTTATGAAACATAATTCAACATAGTGGTATTTGGCCACTAAAAGTAATTTTGTAACAGCTTATTGACATGTGAAGATGCTGAAGATGGGTTTAGTATAAATAAATCAATGAATAAAAAAGAATAGTTACAATAGTATTTAACCATACTTAGGTATTTTTGAATAAGGAAGATAGAAAGATAAAGCGTACTACAGATATATTTATAGTTGGTTATTTGTGAGTGAGTAGATTGTGGCTGTTATTTGTTCATGTTCCCTGACTTTCCTATGATGAGCATACATGCTTTTATATTAAAATGTGTGTGCTTTATTTAAAATGTAAATTTAGGCTGGGTGCAGTGGTTCATGTCTGTCATCTCAGCACTTTGGGAGACTGAGGTGGGGAGGATTGCTTGAGCTCAGGAGTTTGAGACCAGCTTGGGCAACATAGAGTGAGACCTTGTCTCTATAAAAAGTCGAAAAAGTTAGCCAGGCACGGCATCGGTAATCCCAACTACTTGGGAGGCTGAGGCAGGAGGATCATTTGAGCCAGGAGTTTGAGGCTGTGGTGAGCAGTGATTGTGCCATTGCACTCCAGTTTCCCTTGAAGAACCCATAGAAATGTAGACAAAAGGCATGAGTAAGCAGTTCATGTAAGGAGAAACATGGTTACCTAACGTGTGTGAGAAGAGATGCTTGGACTCACAAGTGATGGAAGAAATGCAAATATAATGGCAATGGGATATGCTTTTATACTTGTCAGATTGGCAAGAAAGTGGAAATTTGGTGAGGAGGGAAAATAGAGTTCTGGTGGGAGGCTAGATAGGCTGACCTATTCTGGAGAATGAGTCTGGAGGACCACACTGGAGAACACATTTGGTAGGTTTTTTTTCTGTGAGTAATCATCAGTTCATCTCCCAGGAATAGGGATTTTTGTGACAGTGTTGCCTGTGGTGTCAGAGAGCAAAGATCACTGAAGGGTCCCTCTCTGGGGAGAGGAGATAAGTGAACTGGGGTTGAGAGTCACCATGGAATTCTATGCAGCCACAGTTTGAAATAGGCATGTGGCCAGCCTATTTCAATGTGGTTAGATCTGAAAAGATTCATAACTAGATTTGCCAGATAAAATACTAGGTGCCCAGTTAAATCTGAATTTCTGATAAACAATCAATACATTTTGAGGATAAGTATGTCCCAAATATTTGCTCACTGGCAACCCCAGCCATAGAAAATAGAATTTATGATTATTAAAGCCATGGAGGCAGGCAAATGAATCCAACATGTTTCATAAGAATACACGTTAACACTTTGATAGCTATTGTGTTTCTGGGGGAGGATAATGGTAGTTAAAATAAATACATATTACCCAAATAAAGACATAAAACAAGAGAAGGCCTTGAACAGACAGTGTTGATAGTAAACTGAGTATAATTAACTCAACTCTCTATACCTAAGACAAAAAAAAATTTTAAAAAACATTTTCCTGTAGTCTCCTGATGACATTGCCTGGCTGATAAACAGAATATTCTGTTCTACCAAAAAATCCCTCTGGAGTACTCTGGCACTTCCAGCTAGATTAAGTGGCAAGAAAGTGAGTAGGTGAGAAAATGGATAGGCAATGTGAGGCTCAGAAGGAAAAAGAAAACCTTAATAATGTTGTAAACACTAAAAAGTGAAACTGTTAAACAAATCAGCTAAGAACATTGGTTCACTCAGATTTACTTTTTTTGGACAAAGTTTTGATATTTTGCCCAGGCTGGTCTTGAACTCCTGGGCTCTAGTGAGCTTCCCGTCCCAGTGTCTCAAAATGCTGGAAGCCACCGTGCCTGGCCAGATTTCAACAGAGGGACATACTTGCATTCTTATAGAGTAAATATTAGTAAAGAGTATCAGCAAGCACCAAATCAACGATTGCCATGGAGATAGCCAGAAAAATAAGCAAAGTTTAGATTTGCCCATTGGAAAATGATGGTTTAGTACATGACACTGAGTAACTCTTAATCTTTTAAAACCTTTCTCTTCTTTAATGTTATAGCTGATTACAAGGAGAGCTTTAATACGATTGGAAACATTGAAGAGATTGCATATAATGCCGTGTCTTTTACCTGGGACGTGAATGAAGAGGCAAAGGTGAGTGAGAAACTAGCATTGATTCATGATTCATACCTCACAAATAATGAGCCCATCCTCTGCAGATGATTCTTTATGAAGAATCTCTAGAGGTAGCCTCCTATAAAGAGAAAAGTAGCCTATTACCTTTTACCTTTTGGGGATGGGGAGAGCACGCATCTCCTCTGTGGACCCCGCAGAATGTAAAGCACCAAGCTGCGTGTTCCTCCCAAATCCTTCAGGCCCCTAGCTCTATTTTAGCACTTGGAGCTGGGAAGACTGGGCCACAAAACCTTTTCTCCCTGCACTGTAGATTTCCCCCAGGGCCCTTCTCAGGCCTCTCTGTGCAGCCTCCTCCAGAAGCTGGGAAGAGCTCCGAGCCAATGTCTTCATAGGAGAGCAACTGGGCATACCCCTTTCCAGGCTTTAGATATTTGAGTGGAGAGGGGTGCAGGAAGCAGAGCTGCAGGTCTCTCTGCGTCACTGAGGGAGGTGATCTTGACCTACTCCTCTCGTGCTGGCTGCTATACCTTTTTCTGTTTTTCTGGGTTGCCAGGATGGTTAAGTGCAAGAGTAAAATATCGGTCAAAATGAGTACCGAGGAGAGACGTCCACCATTGCACTGGTGTGGATAAGAAGACAGATTCCCTGATACCCAGATTTGCTTTCCAGCCCCGAGTGTCTTGGATCTTATGAACACTTTAAACCTTTCGGCCATGCGCACTCCTCTTTCTGTATTCTTTAGCTTCTGATCCTTGATCCTTATTTTGCACTTAAAGGGAAGGTTCCAGAAGAAGCCAAAACTTGTTTTTTGCTTCAGTTCCATACCGTCTAGGAAGGTGTTAGAAGACTTTGTCTTCAAACTAGTGAAAAGGCCAGTGTCCACAGCTCTGGTCAATGCTTTATTGTGTGTGGGCAAGGGGAAGGCTGGGTGAGAAAGGAAGCAAATTGGGAGTCTGCAGGCACAGCTACAGAAGAAGAAGAATTGCTCAGTGTCTCATTTCACTCATGTATAAACAATGTAGATGAAACTGGTTATAGGCCCAAAAGAGGTGGCCCAAATGAGCAAGCGGCAACAGAACGCCAGCACAGCCTGGAAGGTCCTTGGCTTGGGAATTCCTGGGAAGGAAACAGACCTTGCCTCGGAACAAGATCAGGCCCACATATAGAACTGCAGGCTAAGTTTGTCTCTAAGAGCCCCCCACCCTCTTCCATAGAAAACTTCCTGCCCAAACCATGTGCTTTCAGCACTGGGTTCATTTCCTCAGCTACCTGAGCCCCATTCTCTCTGCCCTGCCCTCTCCTGAGAACAGTGGCTCATGTGCTCAGGACTGGCTGCACCTTTACCATGTTCTTGCCCAACCCCTTCTCAGTCCAGCCAATGCCTGCTCTGTCTCCTCATGCCCCGTTCTCTCAGAGGCCAGATTGCCAGGCTAGATAACCAAACAGGACTAGGGTGGGGTTGGAATCCATAGCAAGTCATGTGACCTTTCTGGCCTGGGTTTCCACATGCAGACAAACATACATTTCCAAATGTCTCTGCTGCCCTCATCTCATGCCAAGGGAATGATAAGTGATGATCCCGCGTCCTGGGGAGAGAGGCCAGGGAACCAATAATTGTTCCACAGTGTGACCAGAGTCACTGGGAAGACAACGGGATTGTGTAACTGGAAGTGTCTTATCAGTGTTAAAGCAAGCTATAAATATGAGCTGTAATCATTGCCATAATTTCATTATCGTGCAATCTGTGATAATGAGTGGGTGAATGTGTTAACTGTGGTGTTCCAACAGGGACCTTTAAAAGAAAATGTCTCATCTGGAAGGGACAGCTTAATGCTGGATGCTTCAGGCTATGTGGTAAACCAGTGAGCTTGTTTATTTAGAGTTGAGTTGAGCTTTCACCCTCCAGTTCATCCCACACCACTCATTTACCATATGTAGGAGCTTACTTTTCTTGTCTAAATGTATATGTGTGTGTATGTGGGTGTACATGTATGTTGTTTCAGGCAGACAAGTTTAAGTTCACATATGCTTTGACAAATGACATTTTATATTTTCATATTGCAGCAAAATTATTTTATTTCATTAATATACATCTTTAGTGACTATTTCTCGGTTGTTGCAATTGTTTGAGATCTGAGTTAATTGATAAGTAATAAAAAATATCTCCAAATAACTTTCTCCACACTACTCAAGGGTTTTTAAAGAAAAACCATGAAGGTTAAATCCATTTCATTACAGGGGGCAAGAGGAATTTTTTTAAATCTGCAAAACCTAAGGCATTTCTTTAAAGTATCGTTGATTTTATAAAAAGCAGACTATCAAAACAAAATCACAAAAGTTTTCAACAAAGCAGTAAGTAAAAGGCTTCCCTCTCACAGTGGAATTGTTTTTGATTTTTTATTCTGTGAACTTCTCAGGAACAGTTGCATTTGCTTTCAAATTCCTTTCAAATATCCACACAGAAATCTTTTGTAGGCTTCAGAGCAGGCATTCAGTGTCACGTCACATGATATTTTGGTTTGAATAGCCAGCGGACACAAACTTGTGATCTACAGCATTCATATAGTCCACAGAATGTATTTATGTATGTATTATGCATTTATGTGCTGATATTGCATATTTTAATATTTCTTGCCCACATTTAATAACCAGAAGATTATTCCAGGTTGTTAGATCTTTTGGACAACTAAAGATTTTTATAACCAGGGGCTTGGGTGTTTGCAAGGCAACAAGTGGCTCTTGTGAGGTGCTGGCTATCCTCTTTATTGTTCTTTCTAGCCTTCTCAGTTTTGGAACTTTCTCTGGCTGTCCCTTGTGGACATTTGAATTTTCATGCCCGACCACATCCCTCCAGACAACTGATATGTAGTTTAGATCTTCATTGGCTTTCAGCATAGTAGAGGTTGAAGCCCTAGGATAAGCTCAATTCACCCTGTGGCTTAGCAGAGTGTGGCCGGCAAGGCCACCAGCATTCCCCAGCTCTTGTTTCCTTTGGCCAGTACTCAGGGTGCCAAAGGGCAGCCGGCCCAAAGCTAACTTGTGTCACCACTGTTAAAGGGAGCATCTGTGGCATCCTTTTGAGTGCCCACAATAGTGGCAAATCATGATCTTTCGAGGTGTTTTTGTTTTAGATCCAGGTGGTACACGTGTATGTTTGTTACATGGACATATTGTATAGTGGTGGGGTCTCAGGTGGTCCATGCTCCAGTTGGATAATATCACCTAATGATTAAAAATGAGATTTGATTTTTTAGCACAAGGTTTTATAAACCATCTTTGAAACATGCAATGTCAGAAGAGACCCTACAAATATGCTTTAAGTCACAGCAGTATCATTTGAGAAAATCGTATGTCTCCCCAAGATGATTATGTTAAAGTATAGCTTTTATTCACATATTTAAGTTTTGATGCATTTATTTAAAAAAAAAAAAAAAAAGGCCAGGCGCGATGGCTCAAGCCTGTAATCCCAGCACTTTGGGAGGCCAAGGTGAGCGGACTGCCTGAGCCCACATGTTCAAGAACAGCCTGGGCATCTTGGCAAGACTGCATCTCTACATAAATAAATAAAAATTAACCAGGCATGGTAGCACGTGCCTGTAGTTCTGGCTACTTGGAAGGCTGAGGTAGAAGGGTCGCCTGAGCCCAGTGGGTCGTTGCTGGGGTGGCTGTGAGTGTGCCACTGCACTCCAGTCTATGAAACAGAGTGAGTCTCCAACTCAATACATAATAATAATAGTAAGTCCAGTATTTGATAGTCTTGCCACAGATGTATAATCAAGTCCTGGTGGTAAGGTTTATAGATTTTTTTCTTCATAGTCCTTTCTTTTGTTACTGACTTACATTGTATTCCAATCTTTCATTTAGCATGAGCAGAAAAAAAATAAAGAAAAGACATAATACTCTAATCATTTAGTTTAATTGTAGGAAAATGTCTTGACTAGGAAAAGTGTTAGAGCTATTAGTTAAAGTTAGGTTTGGGGATTAAGTCCTGATTTGCAGAGTGTCAATTGCAGCCTGATTCTGGTGGAGGTATCAGAGTTCTTCCACCCAAAACCGGTTTCACTGGTTGTGCCACAGAGTCTTTCTGCACAACTACACAAGCAGCAGAAATAGGCTCTAGCAGGACCTGCTTTTGCCCTCGGGATCTGTGCAGTCTGGAAGCCTGTGTAATGTGAACGGGTATTCCTGGGTTTCTGCTGTCTAGGCCAGTGGGGTTCTAAGTGGTCACACTGTCACAGTTTTGGAAATTGATGGGGGCCAGGACCCAAGATAATACAGCAGAAAGAGCACTGGAATGGTGCTCAGACAATCTGATTCTAGTCCTGGTACTGGAGTAGCCGGCTTTTGACTTCCCCTGTTGAGCTTCAGTTTCCTCAGCTGTAAAACAGTGAGAAGTGGGTATATCTCTCTCTCTCTCTCTCTCTCTCTCTCTCTCTCTCTCTCTCTCTCTCTCTCTCTCAATCTCTCTCTCTCTCCCCCCCCCGCCCTCTCCCCTTCTCCCTTCTCTCTTTCTCTAGGAAAGGAGTGAAGGTGGGTGGTGGTAGAGGGGGCATTGACAGATGATTACCTTTCCATCCATACAATTCTACTGGAAGAACTTCTTTGCCACATTCTCTCCTTGACTCCCATTTTACAAAGTTGTTTTAATTTTCTTTCTCTCCTTAAGTAAACACTGGTCCTAAAAAGTAGATTTGTTGCTAACTAATCCGCAGGATGAAGAATTCCCATGCAAGACCCTATTGAGTTATTGAAGAGCTGTGAGCTCAGATTCCTGGCACAGAGCACTGATTTTCTCCAGGTGATGACATCACCCTCCAGGGCACCCTAATTACAGGCTTCCCTTTCTCCCAGATTTCTAAGGAGATTCTTGAAACTGGGCCCCATATTTGTGTCCAGTGCTGTTTTCCCTGTTCACAATGATTTTAAGATTACATCAAGCTCGGTGTGCTACAAAGACCTCTCTCGTGTGACCACAGAGAAGAATTACTTGAGCATTTGGATGCTGCTTAGCACTTTGT